GAAAGAGAGTCATGGAATCAGCTAGGTGGGAAAAGACCTTTAGGATCATCAAGTTCAACTGTTCCCCAGCACTGCCAAGGCCACCACTAACCCAGGACACTAAGATTGTTGTAGAGAGAGACAGGGTCCCCCCGAGCCTTCCCTTCTCCCGACTAAGTCCCTCAGCTGTTCCTCATCACACTGGTGCTATTCTTGTGCAGAAGAGCCTCTGCTTCCTCAGCAACTGGAAGATGCCATCGGTAACAGACACCCCCTCTTCGCAGAGAAGCACCACACATGCTTTGTGCTTGTAAGCTTGAACAAAGCCTGTGGCCATAGAAAAGAGAAGTGCTGTTAGAGCTACTGCACCTTACAGCTGAGTGGCAGATCACCGTCCTCCTCCTCCAGCCTTCTCCCACAGAAAAGCTGCTCAGGAGATCCATGCTGTCCACGGTCCGATGGATCAGGTACCTGAGGCGACTGGACAGGGGAGGGAACAGGAGCACGCTGAAAGGAGAGAGGGGGGTCCAGGGCATCAGCACCTTGTAGGAAGGCACAGGACAGGAACACAGCAAGAATTCATCATTCCCTCTTCCCCAGGTCATTCCCAGTGCAGGGTTAAAATCCAAGCCCAAAAGCCAAGCAGGACTTTCTGACATTAAAGAGCCCAAATCCCCTCCCCATTCTGGATGTCTACATGAGCTTGCTTTGCATGCAGCAGCGGGAGCACATGGTCTGTGCCTGGGACACCCGGTCCTGCCTGTGTCCTTGCTGGGAACGGTGGTGGGACATCCCCAGCACAACCTCCTGGTCCCATTCCACCCAGTCTGAGTGTGCTCCAGAAACCAGCAGCTGCGACAACGACTGGACGAGAGCACACACCCCGTTTGATTCCACTGCATTTAAACACCTTCTTACAACTCCAGTTCCACCCCTGAGCATTTCACAGTGGCTGCCCCATCCCCGGCAGTGTTCAAGGCCAGGTTGGACACAGGGGCTTGGAGCAACCTGCTCTAGTGGAAGGTGTCCCTGCCCGGGGTTGACTAACAAGCCAGGCCAGGCTCTGGCTGGTGCAAAAGCCACCAGTGTCCAAACCAACGCTGCCTGAAGGTGTGTTCATAGAGAAGGGCACAGGCCACAGCTCCCGTGGGGGTCCTCGGCCTGCAGGGATGCTCCGAGCCAGGCTCCAAACCCTTCTGCACGACCCAGGAGCGTTTTCACCCTGGGAGAACCAGCGCAAGACCCACGACACGAGTCCCCACGTGCTGCTGCGACGTGTGCCCTCGGCCGGGGCTGCACCAGAGGGTCCCCCGCGGCACAGACCCACCTGTGGAGCTGCCCCTGCAGCACGAAGTGCTCCAGCTCCTCCGTGATCCTGCCCACGAACTCATCCTCGTTGGGCGAGAGGAAAACCCCGTCCATGCAGCG